TTTAGGGTAGACGCGCCTAACTGAGTTATGCAAATGATGTAAAATGCGCAGCACTCGTGCGCACATGGAGTAAGATATAAGGGAAGGAACTTGCAGAAAGGACAGTATTCGTGTCGTTATTTCTTCAAGGAAAATGATTGTAGAAATTTTGTTCTTGTGTCAAAAGACACGTGTAATAACAGAGAATGCCAGGTCATCGTAAACGGAGGCAGTTCAAGCAGACAGACGCTTTTACGAGGGGCATGGTGATCGGACTGAAAAGGGCAGGTTGGTCCATACGTCAAATCGCAGCTGATACACACCTTGGTGCGTCCACGGTGCACCGACTGTGGAGAAGATGGTTGGAACAAGGAAATGTGGCAATTTATAGGAATGTCGGTGCAACCAGAGTGACGTCAGCACGTGTGGATCGGCGTATCCTTCGACAAGCAGTGGCGGCCCCACAAGCCACTTGTACCGCCATCCTGCAACATGTGCAAGACACCCTAGATCATTCCATCGACCAGAACCATTTCCCGTCGATTGGTTGCTAATGGCTTGCACTCATGCCGTCCGCTAAGAAGACTGCCATTGACCCCACCGAATAGGCGCCAACGTTTGGAATGGTGCCGGGCTAGATCGACGTGGATGACGGAATGGCACAGGGTCGTGTTCTCAGATGAGTCGCGTTTCTGCTTGTCCAGTGATAGTCGCCGTGTACGCGTGTGGCGTCGACGTGGAGAAAGGTCCAATCCGGCAGTAATTGTGGAACGCGTGTAACACGCAATACGTGTAATTTGTATATAGAGAGATGTACAAGGTTAGTAAACATTAATATAGCTTTATATACATAGCTTTGTTAATAAATATGTATGACCCCGGACCTTTTGATCCCACGATGTATATATTTATGGTTCAATGATTCAAGCAATGTTCTTTCACATATAAATCACAATAATATAAAGGCAAGCAGCACGTCATATATTCAAGATTTTTTATTCAAGAAGTTTAAATTCTAGTGCTGTGACGAAACTATTTTTGTGTCGACGCAGTAGTAATTGTAAAAAATCACTTTTAAAATAAGCGCATTGCTAGAGATTTTCCCTTTAATATCTATCCACCTATATATGTATTTATATAGTATAGATTGCACCGTATTTCAGGGTCATGTATGGTATCAAAAGTGTTTTAATATAATAAGGATTTTTCTTTTACATAAACTTAGTTTTATTAATTATACTGATTTTAAAACTAGAATAAACCAATTTGATATATTGTGCCTATAAGAACGCTCAATGATTAAAAAGGATTTCATAAAGATACCAATGAATGTTTATTGGCGGGGGAACGATAACTATATATATTTTCACTACAATCATTATGCCAACTTAAAATTTTACTTTCATTTTTTCGAAAATCGAGGGTGTTCAGAGTTCAAAATAGGTTTGGATAAATTTTAACTAGGCTTCTCTCAATATATGATAGACTACAAGAAATAAAGATTTCACTATGAAGTAATATATAAGAAATGAAACCACATAACACGAATTTTTCTTTGTGATAAGAGAATTGTTCAATATAAGAGTAATGATAAATAATTCAACTCTCATAATTTTCTTAGCTCACAATATATAGTCATGAGATTATTTAAATACTCTAACCAAGGATTTCTCTACATTGACTCGGATATATAAGCAGAATAGTCCGATACAATATCAAAGCGCAATGGTGTGTTTAATTACAGAGCCGCTGGGAGGATTCCCCACTGATTCGACAAGCTCTCCCAATACTTCGCAGTATGGAGTTTATTTTATTTGAAAAATGAGGTATATAATTATTTCTAAACGGTTTCATTATTTATCTATATATGGCGCGTTAATGCCTTGTGTTTGAAAAGTAATTCATATATCAAATATTCATTTTAAAATAATATCCCTAATGAACAAATATACAATTGAGGTAGCACTTACCGGTGTGGATGCGCTGATGAATCTTGAGGTTCTCCGAGCGGGCGAAGACTTTCCCGCAGAAAGGGCAGGCGAACGGCCCGCTCTCCCGTGTGGACGCGCAAGTGGTTGATGAGCTTGTACTTGGCCTTGAAGGCCTGTCCCGCCCGCGGACAGCCGAGCCAGGAGCAGCGGAGGGTGCTCTCGATGTGGTCCACCGTCACATGCTCCACCACGTCCCGGATGGAGCCCAGTCTGCGCTGGCACACCCGCACCCCGTCCGTCCACAGGCAGGCAACGGAGCGGTGGTACGGCACGAAGGCCCCCTGGGCGGGCGGCGGTAGCTGCGGGTAGTAGTACTCCATCTGACTGCTGGCCCCTCCTATTGTCCCGCCCACTGCGGGGGGTGGGCTTCTTTCGCACTCTACTGAAGAGGGTGGTGTGTATTCTATAGGTACATTTTACCTTGAAATTTGATTCTTATAATCGAAATCTTCTACCCTTAAAGGGTTATTAGTATATCATATATATTGTGAAAACTCTGTATCGCTATACTTTGTATAATCTCTCGATAACAACGAGCAAATATTTACGTCTTATCTATCTCTATAGAACGAAACTTTTCTTGATGTTTATTGAAACCACATATGACCTACATGTATTATAGAATATGATATATTAGTAAATTATTTGATAAAGAACTTACACGACAAATTTCTCACGTTTTATGATTTAATAAAAATAGACGGCCTAGAATCTTCTAGAAAATGTTTAGTTTGAGATATCGAGAAACGGCGCAGTGAGATTTTTTCTTCATCTTCAACTGTGACGATGGCAAACTATAGCTCGCACTGATAACCGAATATACTCCAGTATCTACCAGTAGCTTTCATATACATGAACCTTTCTAAGTCTTTTACTATTCGGCCCTATCTGTTAAAATTAAACCGTAGTCGAAGCGCTCACAAAACAAATTCATACTCATTGCAAGAGAATACAGGACCGGAGAGCGAACAGCACAAATCTTTAAAAACTATGTCTATAAACGGCTATCAAACCAATTTTATCAAGAAGCATCTTATAAACCCAACGATACAATAATCCATCTGACTCCTGCTTGACAGAGATTTTGCATTCTTCCCTTAAGCCATAAATTGGAGAGAATTGTAAGAAATATATATCAGATAGCTAGGAACAAAAATATTCGCCATCCCATCAGAAAATCTATCGCCATCCCGGTAACAGAATCCCTGGTAGCTCCTTCCACATACATAGGGAAGACTGAGAAGTCACACGAAATCCGGACCTAAAAGCAATAGACAGTTACCCTCATTAGTCGAGCAAAAATACCGACTGGAACAATAGTGAAATAATATACCACGACATCCCTACGAAACAATAAATATTGTTTGACTCAATAATAGATAAAATAGCATTATAAAGATAGAAAAAACCCCGAGAATATATGCAAATTATAAATAAATTGACCCAAGAAAAACTCAAAATTCCGCCCCAGCAGCACTACGAAGATGCACCTCTACGTCGTGAGTTTAAGTCGCGAATACATTTGATAAAGAAAGTCATTCAGCATTTAAAAATATATATTACGTTTAATTATTGATATAAAGTTTGTTTCAATCGGATCCACGGTATGCCCCATTATTAATAATTGTAACTAATACATTTTGCGCAATAATCCTCTCTCTCTCTCTATCTAAATAAATTATAATTATTTACCCCAAGATTTTACCACATAACAGTTGTTCGAGCTAAATTTGAAAGGTAATATTAATAGCAAGCTTAGAGAAAATATTTTAAATACATTCATTGAGCTAAGATGAAATGCTCAGAGATCTCTTTCGACAAAAACTTCGTTTGAATTCAGATATATGACTTCAGTGATGCCAACGTAGCTGCTTTCACTGCTGTAATATTATCCAAAGGCATCTTTGAAGCGAGGATCTTTTTACATCAGATTTGGAATTTGCAATTTAGACAGATATACAAAATATGATACTTATATATATATATTAAAAATAAAGAAGGCATCTCCTGACCACGAGCAGATGTGCTTTTTAGATGGCAGAGCGCCATCTAGTGGAGCAAAAATAAACTAAACGTTTATTTAGCTTGCTCCGAGATATTTGGCCAACCCAATTTCTTGATAAATCAAGAAAAGCCATCCACGAACGCGTTTCGCGCTGTTGGCGCTCGTCAGCGTGGAGAAGGCTGTAACCACTGCGACCAAAAATATTTTTGGTCCCAATGGCTTCCCGAAAAATCAAGAAATGGGTATTTAAGGCCAAATTTGCGTAAAGACGCTTAACACATGAAAAAAAAAAAAAAAAAGATAAGTAGGTCAGGTGTTGATATTAAAAATAAAGAAGGCATCTCCTGACCACGAGCACATGTGCCTTTTAGATGGCAGAGCGCCATCTAGTGGAGCAAAAATATACTAAACGTTTATTTAGCTTGCTCCGAGATATTTGGCCAACCCAATTTCTTGATAAATCAAGAAAAGCCATCCACGAACGCGTTTCGCGCTGTTGGCGCTCGTCAGCGTGGAGAAGGCTGTAACCACTGCGACCAAAAAGATTTTTGGTCCCAATGGCTTCCCGAAAAATCAAGAAATGGGTATTTAAGGCCGAATTTGCGTAAAGACGCTTAAAACATGAAAAAACAATAGAAAAAAAATAAAAGATAAGTGGGTCAGGTGTTGATATTAAAAGCACATGTGCTCGTGGTCAGGAGATGCCTTCTTTATTTTTAATATCAACACCTGACACACTTATCTTTTACTTTTTTCTATTGTTTTTCATATATATCCTTATATATATAAAAATGAAATGCGAAATCGATGTTTGTTATCGCATCACGCAAAATCTACTGACTCAATCATTATGGAATTTCGCATGTAGGTAGCTGAAGATTTCGTTTAACATATAGGCTATTCAAAAAACTAAAAAAGTTAATGTGTTTTTTTTTTAAATAAAAAACCAAAAAGCGTTAGTTCCAGTCTTTTACCGCTAGGGCGCAGCACTGGTCGCGACGATAAATGAATTTGATTTTTTTAAAGCATCGGTGGTTCTGTGGTAGAATGCTCGCCTGCCACGCGGGCGGCCAGGGTTCGATTCCCGGCCGATGCATTTTTTTAAAACAATTTTTAAAACTCATTTATATTATATCCTTCCTTATCCTTCCTAATATATAAAAAAATGAAATGCGAAATCGATGTTTGTTATCGCATCACGCAAAATCTACTGACTCAATCATTATGGAATTTCGCATGTAGGTAGCTGAAGATTTCGTTTAACATATAGGCTATTCAAAAAACTACAAAGGTTAATGTACTTTTCAAAAAAAATATTTAACTGAAATGGATTAGTTCCCACCTTTTGCCGCTTGGCGCCGCACTGGTCGCGACGAATTTGATTGGTTAATAATTTACACTTATTTTGTTTGTTTACACGCTGCATTATTCAAAAGGGGTAAGATTATATATATTTATTTAAACTCTTTGGAAATATTATTGTTTAGAAATATTTTTCTAATTTAATTAATACTACGTTTTTTTAGATAAGGTACACAGTTTGATTCTCATAAGGAATAAGGAATATTCAAATTATATTATATATTCATATACTCATTTACGATTTAGATTATTGTTTAGAAATATTTTTATAATTTAATTGATACTACATTTTTTTCGATAAGGTATACTGTTTGATTCTCATAAGGAATATTCATATTATTATATTATATATTCATATAATCATTTACGATTTAGAGCAGTGCATTCTATATTTTTTTCTTTTTCATATTTATTGCAAAAATTATGTTTTTTTCTGTATAGCTTGCTACATATATTTTACTATATATGTTTGTTCCATGCAATAGTTTTATACTTATTAGCGTTTATATTGTAAGCAGCTTCTATGCATTTTTAATAACTGCTTTTTTTAGGGGTAGGCTCAATTTATTGGGCAGTTTTTCAACCAAATTAGACTTTTTTTTAGGCCTTCTTCCATTGTCTTTTTTTTTTGTTTTGCTGTCATTTGTTTAGGTAGTATTTATATTTTTCTGTTTCATAATATGTAGCTGCTCATATCCTTCCTTCTTCCTTTCCTTATCCTTATCCTTATCCTTATATCTATAAAAATGAAATGCGAAATCGATGTTTGTTATCGCATCACGCAAAATCTACTGACTCAATCATTATGGAATTTCGCATGTAGGTAGCTGAAGATTTCGTTTAACATACAGTGTACTCCGCTTATAACGAAGTCGCATTATCCATGACAATCACTTTGTTATATCCGAAGTTTGTTATATCCGCAGTTGGAAAAAAAAATGTTTTGTACGAATAATTTTATTTACTATTCAACTCAAAAGAGCAACACAAAGATCAATAACAACCTCATCAGGTGTTTTTGGAGAAGTAGTTTGTGATTTTCTTTTGACATTTAGAAGTCAGTAACAAGTGCTGAACACTCTTTTCGATGTTGTCCAAGTCTGACAGATGCCTATGAAGAGACTTGGACTCATCCTGACATTGAAGAAACAATCGCAGAGTTTGAATGCTCACCAAGACCTCTTTTGGATGCGGAATGTGGACAATTGGGTCTACTTCTTCATCAACTTGGTCCGTTTCTTCTTCTTCTTTTGCTTGAAGAATGCTCTCGACAATTTCTACACGTGCTCGTTTCCGACTGCTTTCTCCCGCATGCAGAGCTTGTTGGTGGATCTTCTCAGAGTTCTTTATTATGGTGCTGAGCGACGACTGTGGGATATTATGTTTCTGGGCAACATCTGTCTTTTTCTTCTTCTCCACTTCAATCTCTCTTAGGATTTGCAGCTTGACTGACAGAGATAGTAGTTTCTTGTTTGTTTTCGTTCTCCTGCCATGGTAAACTTTAATAAAAATAAGCGTTTATTAAACAATTTAATTTTGTTTAAATAATGTAAAAAAATACTTATAATATGTTTGCATATTTTAAAATTGTATATTATTAACTTATTTGTTGTGTATCATTAAATTTGTGTCATTCACACGTTGTAATTTGATATATATTATGCATAATATATTAGTCAATTATAATGGTAAATGAGAAAACTTCGTTATAAACGGATAAAATAAAAATTTATACATGCAAATCACTTCGTTATAAGCGAAAATTCTTTATATCCGACTTCGCAATATCCAGAGTTCTTTTAATGGTTTAAGCCCTTTTCTTTCGTGCAGACAATTTCATTCGCTATATGCGGAATTTCGCTATAACCGACTTTGTTATAAGCGGAGTACACTGTATAGGCTATTCAAAAAACTACAAAGGTTAATGTACTTTTTTAAAAAATTATTTAACTGAAATGGATTAGTTCCCGCCTTTTGCCGGTTGGCGCCGCACTGGTCGCGACGAATTTGATTGGTTAATAATTTTACACTTATTTTGTTTGTTTACACGCTGCATTATTCAAAAGGTAAGATTATATATATTTATTTAAACTCTTTGGAAATATTATTGTTTAGAAATATTTTTCTAATTTAATTGATACTACGTTTTTTTAGATAAGGTACACTGTTTGATTCTCATAAGGAATAAGGAATATTCAAATATATTATATATTCATATACTCATTTACGATTTAGATTATTGTTTAGAAATATTTTTATAATTTAATTGATACTGCATTTTTTTCGATAAGGTATACTGTTTGATTTTCATAAGGAATATTCATATTATTATATTATATATTCATATAATCATTTACGATTTAGAGCAGTGCATTCTATATTTTTTTCTTTTTCATATTTATTGCAAAAATTATGTTTTTTTTTCTGTATAGCTTGCTACATATATTTTAGTATATATGTTTGTTCCATGCAATAGTTTTATACTTATTAGCGTTTATATTGTAAGCAGCTTCTATGCATTTTTAATAACTGCTTTTTTTAGGGGTAGGCTCAATTTATTGGGCAGTTTTTTCAACCAAATTAGACTTTTTTTTTAAGCCTTCTTCCATTGTCTTTTTTTTGTTTGTTTTGCTGTCATTTGTTTAGGTAGTATTTATATTTATCTGTTTCATAATATGTAGCTGCTCATATATATCTATATAGGCTCAATTTATTGGGCCGTTTTTTCAACCAAATTAGACTTTTTTTTTAGGCCTTCTTCCATTGTCTTTTTTTTTTTGTTTTGCTGTCATTTGTTTAGGTAGTATTTATATTTATCTGTTTCATAATATGTAGCTGCTCATATATATCTATATAGGCTCAATTTATTGGGCAGTTTTTTCAACCAAATTAGACTTTTTTTTAGGCCTTCTTCCATTGTCTTTTTTTTTTGTTGTTTTGCTGTCATTTGTTTAGGTAGTATTTATATTTATCTGCTTCATAATATGTAGCTGCTCATATATATCTATATATGTTCTACTCATATTTATTGTGCATATTTTTTCAGCAAATTATACTTTTTTCTTTACGTCTTCTTCCATTTGATTTTTTTTTATCAGTTGTTTTACGTTTTCACTGAGTTTTATGCATTTTTCCCCTCCTTTCAGATTATTTCTATGCATTTTTTTATTTTGGCCTTAGTCATGAGTCGAGCTTATTTTAATACACTATTTTTTATTTTTTTTCTTCATTCTCAGCCCTTGATGTTTTACATTTTTCAGTTATCCTTTTTTTTATTTTTACTAATGCTTTGTGTTTGTAGGTATGCCAAGCCATAGGAGAAGCAATCTTTCTCAGCGTTCCAATAGCTCTAGGGTTCAGCATGCTTACAGACTGCGCGAAACCAGAGGACAGAATATTCGAAGATTGCGTGCACAGTCCGCGCGTCAAGCCGCTGTGCGGTCGTTAGAGACACCTGATCCCATCCATTCTCGCTTACAGGCGCACTCAGAAATATATTCTTCTACTCGGAGGAATACTAGAACAAATAATTTTTTCAGCAGCGTTTGGTCTTCTATGGAAAATGCAGGTTTTAATTATTCTGTTGCTGTTGAATACTTTAAGCACCCTTTAATTTCCCTTGGGATGATGGACACTACATGCAGGTTTTGTGGGGCCTTAAGATGGAAAGATGAGTCTTCTGGAATGTGCTGTTCAAACGGGAAAGTCCGTTTGCCATTAATTGACTTACCTCCCGAGCCACTTCGCAGCCTATTATCTGGAGAGAATTCTTATTCAGTCCATTTTTTTGCGTAATATTCGCAAATATAATTCCTGCTTTCAAATGACATCATTTGGAACTGAAAACCAAACCCACTCTGTTACTTTTCCAACCACATTTTCTATCCAAGGCCAGGTCTACCACATAATAGGTTCACTTATGCCATCTGAGAATCAGCCAAGTAGATTTCTTCAGATCTATTTTATGGGCAATGATGATGATGATGATATTCAGACTGATCGAAGATGCCAGCAAATACAGGGAGTACGTCGTAATATTGTACAGGGTTTGCAGCGCATGTTGCACCAACACAATCTACTGGTTCAACAGTTTAAAACTGCACTTGAAAATCTCCCCAGTGATGCCTACAGAGTTGTTGTAAATGGTGATCGGACACCTCCTGGTCAACATCCTAGACGGTATAATGCTCCTACAGCTAATGAGGTTGCGGTTGTCTTAGCTGGTAATCAGTTTGGCTCACGTGACATTGTTTTACATCAGCGCGATAATTTGCTGCAACATGTTAGCGACACACATCGCTTTTATGATGCCCTTCAATATCCTTTAATTTTCTGGAAAGGCCAAGAAGGATATTCTTTTCATATTCCTCAGATCGACCCAAACACTTGACAGCCTTTGTCAAGTAAAGTGTCTTCTATGGATTTTTATGGCTATTTTATTATGGTTCGCCGAAATAGTCCAAATGTCATTGTTCAATTTGGCCAGCTCTTTCATCAATTCCTGGTCGATATGTATGCTAAGGTAGAAAGTGAACGTTTGCGCTATATTACGCTGCACCAGAGAAACTTGCGTGCAGAGAGTTATATTCATTTGCGCGATGCCCTGTCAACTGATGCAAATATTAACCCTAATAGCTTGGGTCAAAGGATCATTTTACCATCAAGTTTTGTCAATAGTCCCAGGTATTTGGCAGAATATACGCAGGATGCTTTTTGTTATGTTCGGAAATTTGG